TGAGAAATATGGGTCAGGGAAGTGGGAGACCTGGATTTTAGGTGCTGCTTACAATGAGGGAATTAAATTTCAAGGTTTCTGTATTCCAAGAGGATTATTTCTTGGAGTAAATCTAGAGGAAGGGATATCTCCATTCCTCCCTTTGAATAATGACCACTCTGCAAAACACAGAGTGCAAAAGGGAGCTTGACTGAGGCATAATAGTGAACTTCACAAAAGTGGGTTGCATTGCATGCATCATGTGTTTTCCTCTGGGCTTGGTAAAATGTGATATGAGTATTGGAGACCAGAGTTCTTCCTCTTCCTTGCCCTCCACTGCAGTGGTTTTGTACAGGGGGGAAGAAGAGTCATGAATTCTTGAATCAGCTGACAGTGGCCCCAGTAATCTTGAATATGTTTGTTTGGGTGTGTGCAGTGGTACAGCTTCAGGCTAGCGGGCCACGTGTAAACTATTCTTTGCTTTTCTTTGGGCTGGTTACTGCTGCTGTGGATGAGATGATATGTGGCTGTGAACCCTGTCTGGTCAAGAGGGTCCAGAGTTTGATTCTTTCCCAAAGCAAGTGTTTTGACCACTGAGAAATTACGAGAAGGGGATGCAGTGATTCACTCAATTTCCATTGATGCCACCAGTTCTGTGTTTAAGTATTTTTTTGAAGTCGTCTTTTTTTTACTCAAATAACTTTGAGCATCAATACAAAGATTAGTTTTGGGACCTGAATTCTGATCTAACATGTCTAGTTTGAGGCTATTTGTAAAAACCTATTTCCAGAAGAGAGGAAGATTTTAATTTTGAGGGTGTTGGCTCAATATACATGGAGCAGCTTCTGTGTAATGGAGCCTTGTGATTTCACTCTGCAAACTAAGTGCCTGAGAGGTGTCACAGTGTTCAGTGTCAGAAAGCCTGAGCTGCTTTGTGGTCATGCATTACCTGTGTCCATTTCCCTCTATTTTAAAATTAAATACTGGTGTTTTTTGTGAAATGCTTTGGTATTCATTATTTCAGGAGAGAAAGATCCGAGTACCTTGGAGATATGAAAATAAGTACGGTATTCTTCTGTGTTGAAGTTTAGGAATACAAGATTGGATTTCTGAACCATTAAGTCCAGTTCCTTCCTGTGCAGTGAGCTAGGCAAGGATGTTGTAGAATTTACAACTTCTGATGGATGTTGCCATCCTACATTGATAAATGACCAATTTGTACCCATTTGTTCTGTGTCAGTACTGTGTTTTAACATAAATATTTTTCTCCTTCTTGAGTGTTTTCTCCTCTCTAATAACAAAGTGTGGCTGTGTCGTTCCACCCTTTGTTGTGCTGAGGCAGCAAAGGCTTGCTCCTCAGGTCTCTTCCTGTATGAGAGACCTGCTAGTCTGCTGATCACTTAGTGTCTTTCTTTGCACCTACTTGAAATCACTTTTCTTACACACGTCTTTGTAAAATGACTTGATAACTCTAGTGATCGTGTTTTCTTTCCTTGTGCCAGTCTTGTGTTGGCAGTGCCTAGGTGCCCTGCAGGCTGGTTGCCAAGAGGCTCAAGCTGCTTCTCCCTACTCACTGCTTCCAGGTGTTGAGATTCCTACATGAGTGACCTTAGTTTGTTATGCTGTTTAATTCCACGCTATCTCTACTGCTCCATTTCCCAGTTCATCAGATTCCTTGCATATTACATGTAGTCCTCTGACCTTGTGAAGCCTCTCAAGTTTATGGTAGCAAATTTTGGTGGCACTTCTTGTGCCAAGGTCAATAACGAAACATTTAAAATTACCTGTAGCAGACTAGTTTTGGGGGAACTTTGCTATCAATCTGCCTCCAGCCCAATGATTTGCCTTTCAGTAGTGCCCAGTGTCGTCTTGTCTTTGAGTGACGCCTTACCCATGTACAGTTTTTCTGCTCATCTGTATTATAACCGTGGCTGGTTTTACATGTGGCACTGTATCAAATGCCTTGGGGTGGCTGGGGTAGGTGAGATCCATTATTTCTAAAAAGTAGTTTATTGTTCTCCTCAAATACATGGTATTCCTTCCTTTACAGGCAGGAAAAAGGAGAATTATATTGGAGAGCTAGGGAGGTAGGTATACATCTGCATGCCCGCAAGATGTGCAGAAGCCTCAGCCAGTGGGGTGGCAGGCATCGCTGGAAGCAGATGCCTAGGTGGCTCATAGAGTATTGCTAACATGAGACTTTTATTTAAAATTCTTGCTGTATCCTGAGATGCCAATGTGAATGCCCCAGTAGCGGAGAGCAG